AAGTTGTGACTGTGCTTCTTCCTTCAGCAAACCAAAAATAAGAGATACGAATACTAGATATTCTTCAGTTTAATTGGTTGTGAGACTAAAAGAAATGGGAAGTGTGGATGGGACAGGACCCAGAACTCAGAGGCTTTGAAATATCAAAACTTGTATTTAGCAAAAACTATCATCTGGTTAATCACCAGAATTGTCCCAGCCTTCAAAGTGGATTTCAGCTCTCTTGTTAAGTCAAAGGTAGAGTATAATAAATTCACCATGTACAAAGAAAGCAGTAATCAAAGGATTTAGGGCTTTGGTGATCAAAAGAAAAATCCTACAAAATGCATATGCATATGAATGCGCAAAACCGTACATGAGAACAATTCATAATTTACAGAAAGCCCTTTTGGAAACACGGCCTGAGATGTCTCATGGGACTTGTATGGAGCTCTCTACGTTTTCAGAGCATGGTGTAAATTGCAGTCACACTGAATTGAATGACACAACAGTGTAAGGACCCTGCGTACATGCGACAGAGCTCATAAATGCTCAGTTATAGTCCCTTAAAGGCACTGCAGTGCTTCTGACTACAGTGAGTCATTGATTCTTACAAATTTGATTTTTTAATTGAATTGTGACAAGTTCATATGTGAAGATTTTCTTAGAGATTTAACTCAATCTGATGCATGATTACGGAAAAAATAATGACTTTGCTACCTTCTCTTCATTCGCTGCCATTAGAGATTCTACCGCCTTCTTCATTTTCTGTACCTCTATATCTAAAAACACAATACAGTTCTCTAAGTCAATTTAAATAAGACATTGTAAGGAAACAAGAAAAACAAAAAACCTAGAAGCAACTCGGTAATATCTGAAAGTAAATTTACAAATTAAAAGACAAAACACAAGTCACTTAAATTCTATTTTAGATGGAAGTATATAGAAGAAAACCTTTTTTCTTCAAAACCTTTTTTCTGACATTTTTATCAGGGCAATTACAAAATTCAGGAAATTTCCTTCCCCAGCTCCCCAGCCTTAGGAAAATGGAAAAGTCAAGAGTAAAACTACTGCTTGACTTTCACTATCTCCATCTTTCAAATAATCAAATAATCGCACAACAAGAAGTCCAAAATATACAATACTACATTTGGAGTGCAATAAAACACATCCTCATTACAACAGTCAACAAACCCACCAAATGGCATCTCAAAAACCCACTATACAAAGCAATAGGATTAATGGATATGATGAAGAAAGCATTGTGCAGTGATGCTTAGTCTTAATTCAGTATGGATGTAGAAATGAGGACAGCACAATGGAATGATACAAGTATTTGCTGTGATGAGCAGTCATGCTATTATATATATTGTAGTTCAGACTTGGAAAAGGTCCCTAATACAGATGATGACAGTGTTCTGCGCTTCATCTATAATCCTTATTTACAAAGAAGTATAAATACATGGAAACACGTATGTTCTAACTAGGTTAGATTTTGGAGGTGTTCTGGACTAGAAATTCAAAAAGAATGGAAATAATCTCCATTTTTGCTAAAATTGCATAAATGAAGTAAACTTTAAATTTCATTACAAACATAGGCAAGGTGGCCAAATTCACAGGCAAGAAAGCATTTTACCTTGTTTTAACTTCCTAAAATTTCTTGGAAAACAAACGGAGTGGGAAGAACATTTACCTCCTTAATGAAATGCAAGAAGAAAACAAGCTGCCTGGCTGGCTTTCTAGATGAAAGACATTTAGACACATTGGGCTAAAACAACAACTGATCCAGTTCCAATGACTTTCACTCAGTTACGCTAACTGAAAATCTGGTTTACTGGATTGTGACTGCATTTCATTGAGAGGCAACTGTTTTGTGAGTCTCCATGAGACCAAATCTTTCTTTGCCTATCAGCTTTTCTTCAGAAAACTTTGTATTTCAAGTGTGCTATATCCACCCTTATTCTCAAATTTTACTGTAAGTGTAACTAAGGGTTATAGATGATGCAACCTAACAATGTTTGTTAAAGCAGTTTTGCAAACACATGCAGAAAGCTATTCTGGAAAGCACTTCTGAAATGCAAATGCTTGTGGAAATACACCAGAAACCTTACTTTTATCTTTGAGCTTCTTTTTACAATTTTCATCTGTGCAGGAAAATCCATTGGATTTGAAATTAGCATGAAGGTTATGACATTAAATAACTTTTAACACAATATTGATACTTAAGGAATCAACTATTCCTCACATATTATTGCAGAAGCAAGCGGTTCAACGTTTCAACCTGCACTCCCCCGGTGCTAACGTTCCTAATGACACAAAATAGTCTCACTGTTCTCATACACGGCTACCTGTCTCAAGGATATATTTTTCAACTGTATGTTTTCACTTGTAAAGCCTCAGAAAAGGCTTATGCCAATAGATTACTTTTAAGCTAACACTTTACTGGCAAAAGCCAGGTAAGTGATAACGTATGCGTATTTGTTCAGAAACCACAATTCAGCTAATGGGGCAGATAACCTGTGTTATCTGCAAACAGCATTACTTAATATTGGTTCAAGGCAGAAAAAACATGGTTCATCATGGCAGAAGATCTCCTGCTGAGCTATACTGAAAACTAAACTAAAGCTGAGAACCAGAGGGTAATGGAGTTCAACGTACACAGCAGCCCCCAGGAAGAAAAGCTCCATATAAGTAGTCATAAATGCAATAAAGTCAGAGCTTGTTCACATTTAAATGTTAAAAAAAAAAAAGAAGAATCATGGTTCAAAGTGGTGGTCACTTTTAGTGATCCCATGCAGTGTTTTTGAAAACAGATAATTTTATTAAATAAAACGTGACAATCTACACATAGCATTTTCCTCCTCAGGTCAGGGGAGGAGACTAATTAATCTCTTGTGGCTTTATTTTTCTAAAAACATATTTTAAAAGCACGATCTTAAAATCAGCAATAACTATCAGTGAGATATATTCAGAAGTGAAATTGCAGCAGATCAAAAAAGTCTGTGGAAAATTTTTGTGAGGCTTTAAAGAAAAATTTCTATTTTTAAATAAGTTCCTAAATCTAAGTTTCCCCCAAATAAATATTGATTTTGTTTCTTCTTTGCAAGCAAATAAAATAATTAGCTGATACGTAAAATTTCTGTGCTAATTCAAGCTTAATTAGGATTTAGACTTAACCAGTGTACAAACCCAGAACCAGTTCTCAATTTCACCTACTTATGGCTAGGTCCACACTGAAGATTTCCTGGTACGCATCATACTCTGGGTTTGCAGCATGGCTTTTCCCCTTCCTTACCAGTAAGGGGTGTACAAGCAAAGCCCAGCAGATACTGACACAGAAAGTTTCCTTCTCAGTATAATCTTTTTGGGGAACTTGTTGAAATTAGCTTAAGGATTTCTTTGCCAATATAAACCACATCTTTTGAGGCACTATGCAAGCCACGTAAAGAGCTAACTAGCGATTACTTAGGCTAGTTTAAAGTTGATCAAGAACTTGCTATGACAG